CTTGATGTGTGCAGATTTCGCTCCTGATTCAGACGAGATGGCTTTTTCAATGAAGAAAACAATAGTATGGATAGAGGACTCATGTTTTAGCTAGAAACAACCATTTAACGTTAAAAACGCCTTAATGATGGATTTGTTTGTGCGCAACTTTTCTCATCACAAGACGTTATCTGATGGACTGGAGTGGTGTGGATTATTGTGATGTTTCTATCAGCTGTTTGGACTCTCGTTCTGACGGCACCCATTCACTGCAGAGCATCCATTGCTGAGCAAGTGACGTAATGCTGCATTTCTCCAAATCTGTTCCCGTGAAGAAACAAACTCTTCTACATCTAGGATGGCCTGAGGATGAGCACATTTTTAGCAAATGTTCATTTCTGGGTGAACTATTCCTGCGAGCTTACCTGCTTCTTCCTGGGAGAGTGATCTTCATCATCCCCGTCCCAATGTCTCTTCATTGATGAGGAAGATGAGGATGAAGTTGAGGTCTGGGACGCATGGAAAGCTGATCCTATGCTGTCCTGATCTCGATCAGCATATTTACTGTCCGCTTCAAACAATCCTTTGAACACACAAGCAGTGCATTATCACTTAGGTTATAAAACATGCATTCGCCTTTTAAATACAGCAATGGACCACAGAGGGGGGAAAAACAACACATTCAAGGGAAAACATATTTGAAATGGAAAGCAATTCATATAAATGAAGTTTATGAAGTCAGATGAAAAAGTGCAGTGCGTCAGTGTCGCGTGGATAACAAGAGCTGAAGTCAAGCGCCATCTCGGCACGTGCTGCATCTGCTCAGAGACTGCTTGGACTCCGAAAGAGACAACCATTATACATCATATTAAGAGTGCATGTGCTCAACAGCATGATTATGTAACACAGCTCGCCGAAGACTGAGTCAAAGTCGCAGCACTCACTTGAGCTCTGCGCCATCATGTATCCACAAGCAGCGCTCTTCGCGGATCTTCACTGCGGTGTTTGTTATGAGACGCGCCGCAGCGCCGCCTACAGGACCGGCGTCTACAGCGGCACACCAGGTCACTCCACTCTTCTTGCTTTTTAACATTAGCATATGGAACTAAAATGCAATATGTTAACCCGCTATGCGTTTTAAACATTTCACATCACTTCACTATGTGTAGCACGTGTTGGATCTCCAACATGTGAAACTTTTTTTAAGCACCATTTTATGGAAGTATGCTATTCTATGCATAGCCAAGAGAGAGAGAGAGATAACATGTAAAATGTTATATATATATATAACGTTTTACATAGTATTTTCAATGTATGCCGTACGTGTGAAGACCTGTTGTTTTACAGTCTGTGGTAAAGACCAGTCTTTCTTCTTTTTGTGGTGACTCTAATGAAACCGACATGCATATCTTTTGGGACTGTCCTCACACACAGCTATTTTGGATTGCATTTTCTAATGTTATCAATCGCAGTGCACTCCAGGGTTTCTCTCTGCTTTTTAAGGATGAGACGACTGTTTGGCTTCTTTAATATACCAAAAGGTCAAATTAATGAACATTTTATTATTAACCTATTATTATTTCTTGCAAAATGCCATATTCACCGCAGTACATTAACTCATCGAAATCCTTTATATAATGTTTACGAAAAAAGAGGTTCAACAGTATATCCAAGCTATTTCACCTTCCAAGAATCTCGAGGCTTTTAAAACGGTTAATTTATTTCAGCTTTTTAATTTATTTTGTTAAATCTTTCGTTTTGTATTATTTATTTATTGTCACATACATCTATAAATGGTGCTTTGCGTGTAATGTCACCTCTTTGTATGTAATGTTGATACTCTCTGTATTTTTATATTTGGTACCTTGGCATTAATCAGAATCAGAATCAGAAGAGCTTTATTACCAAGTATGTTCGTCGTCAAGAAAAATAAACTATTGCATCTGTTTTGTTCATCGTGTTTACTCGAGATTATTTTGGAAGGATTTGGAATTCTATATTAACAGAAAAACAGAGTGTGTGATAGAAATGAGTATATCTGATGTACTTTTTTATACAGAAAACGAAAATTTGAATATTGAATATAATACAACATATTATACATTTGTTTGTTTTGTAAGAAGAAGTGGGCTACACTTTATAAACGACTTTACGTTATGCACTGTAAAAAGTCATTCTGTAGGTTTGTAGATTTCATTAAATTTAATGTGTAAACTTTATTTAACAATTAATTTTTTTAATTAGAATTAATTAAAAACGACTGGAATAAAACCTACTCAATTATGTTGTTAAGGATTTAGCTATTATTTTTGAATAATTCCAAAAAGAGAGAATATTGCATGAATCCAACATGATGGAAATGAGCCGTTTTCAATTTACAAGCACTTCCTGTTACAGCGCGCGGTTTAAATCAGCTCGAGGCACGCATGCGCAGGAGTTTCCCGCGGACAACCTGGGGGCAAAGCTGCTCACCGCTCTTTTTCAGTTCATTTCACAAAGGTAAGGAATATTATTTTATTTATATATGAAAAAAACTGTTGTTTAAATGGTCTACTTTATCTAATATAGGCGTCAATAAAAAAAAATATAAGTTAAGGTCTTCTATTTAAAAAGATATTGGTGATAGTGCTCTTGAAAAATAAAGATGCTAATTCGTTCATGTAACATGAACGGTTTGCCAATATTTTTGTAGATTAACGTTACTATCTAAGTGACCTTTCGTGGCCTAATATCCACATCACGTATTGCTACGTTTGAACTAGGGTGTTGCTCATAAAGTAAGGAAAATCAGGTTTTACACCGATGAATGGCTGAAGGGGTTCATTTTAAAACTATTTAACGTTAGCGCTGCCGTTGAACCGCGCGCACGTCGCTAACATCACTCCATGCACCGCTTCTTTTCAATCCATCACGTTGGCATATTACGAATAATAATCCATAAACAAGTGCATTTTGTTGCACAACATCGTACGGTTAGAAATCGAGCATCGAGTTTTTTTATACGTTACATTTGTGAGGACCTGCCCTGGCGATCTGCCGGGACGTTATCTAATCTAACGTTACAGTAAACACGAGCAACAATGAAAGCTTGCATGTATTTTATTTAAATAAAACCCCTCGGATCCATTCATTCCTCCGTTACATGCTGTTAGGAGCTAGCGATTAGAGTAAACGGCCATTCTGCACGATCGCGATTGTACGGAAGCCCTGAACTTGGTTTATTGTGTGTGTATCTCTTAGAACAAACAAAAAACCAAAAAGCACTGAAAACATGTCATGCTCTGAAAGCATTATGTAATTTTCTTCCTTTCTTTTTCTCTGGCAACTGATAATGTTGATTTGATAATGTGAATATGTAATGCCTCATGTTCTTGTGGCATTGAATTAATAAAGCATAAAAAAAATGAAAGGAGCGCTTCTGGAAAAAAAGCGCCTTTTTGAAAAAAATGGGTTACACTTTACTTGAAGGGGTGTGCATAAGACTGACATGACACATTCATAATCATGACACGTGTAAGAATATGAAGGTTTTTATGCATGTTTATGACAACTGTCATTAAGTGTCATTCGCTCAGTTATGTCATTTTTAATGCAAAGATGATGATGTTTGAGATGTCTTTGTTATGGGCTATGGTTAGGGGTAAGGGTAGGGTTAGGTTAGGGTTAGGTCAAATAATGTCATATTTGCATTAAAAATGACATAACTGAGCAAATGACACTTAATGACAGTTGTCATAAACATGCATAACACCTTCTTCATATTCATGACATGTGTCGTGTCATGATTATGAAGGTGTCATGTCAGTCTTATGCACACCCCTTCAAGTAAAGTGTAACCAAAAAATGTCAATAAAGATGGACTTTAAAAAAATAATTGACATCAGCGGATATGATACGTGTTGTAGAATCTTCAGGGTTTGTCTGTTTTCAACCGAAGAGTAAGAGACGTTACCAGCTTAACATACAATCTGTCGTAAACGCGTTGTAATGCACTTCAGGAAATATGGACAAATCGTTAGTACTCCTGAAAAGTAAAGTTAAGTAAATATTAATAAACATTGTGAGTGTAAATATATGTGCTTCAGATATCAGTGTAATACCAAAAGTAAATTGCGGCACATACTGATGTGGTTACCACTATTTTGATTATTATTTTATTATTTTAAATAATAACAACAAATTGTCAGATAACATTTTGAGTGAAAGTTGAAGTGTAAGTGTTTAATAGCAGCAGCAGCAGCACTCGGGCTAACATGAACTAAAAAAAATTCTCTATCATAATTTAAAATAATTCAATGAGCATTTTGAGCTTGTATTTATGTATTTATTTTTTATTCTTTTTTTTAGGTAACCCAGAAATAGTGCAGAATTGTTTCCATTGATAATGTTGTTTCCTGCTTTAAAAAAAACAAATACATTTATTATGTTTGTTCTTTTTAAATTCTCTTTTAAATTTCTTAAAACATTTCTGGGTTTAAGTAAAATAGTAATAATAACAATAATTTAAGTAGTCTAGTGCTGTCAAATGATGAATCGCGATTAATCGCATCCAAAATAAAAGTTTTTGTTTTCATAATATATGTGTGTGTTCTGTGTATATTTATTATGTATATATAAATACAAAACACATACGGTATATATTGTGAAAATATTTACATGTCTATAATTATATTCAAATAATTTATATTATAAATAAATATATTTATTTAATATATATAAAAATAAAATTTTTCTTAAATATATACATGCATGTGTGTGTGTATTTATATATACAAAATAGATACACAGTTCACACACATATATTATGTAAACAAAAACTTTTATTTTAGATGCGATGACTGCACTAAAGACCCCACTGTGTATTATTGAGCATCTCATACTACTGACCATCTGTTTATATCTTCTTTCGTGCCGTTTGTGAATTTGTCGTCTTTACTCTGCATTTTTGTGAGCTGTATTTGGCCGCTCTCTTGCGCTCAGAGTCAGGCCCCTGTCAGACTGTGCTGTTGTTTCTCTGTTGGCAGACGGCTGGGCGCAGAAGCTTGTTTGGGATGCAGCGGTTAGTGTGTGCTAGAGTCCTGCTGCAGATCAGTGGTGCGTCCTGCAGCCGTCCCGCACAGATGCTGGCTCCCGCGGCCCGCGGCTGCTGGACACGCCTGCGCCCCGGCCCGCGGTGGCTCTGCTCTCCGGCCTCTCAGAGGAACAGCAGCAGAGATCGTCCAGGGCAGGAGGATCCAGACCCTCTGCAGGACAAATCCAGCGGCCTCATTCAGAGATTCAAGAAAACCTTCAAGCAGTACGGCAAAGTCATGATCCCTGTGCACCTGCTGACCTCTACAGTGTGGTTTGGCACTTTTTACTACGCTGCAATGAAGTGAGTAGATGATGGATCACAGTTATGTCAGTTTAGGTCCGAGGCTATGATGGATGTTCAGATACTCAATAGCTTGTTAATCGAAGATCACTGAAGAAATCTTTCACAAAATAAAACGGAGCAAATAAAGTGTAATGTTATTAATAAAAACCGTATTCTTCCACCAAACAATGTAGTTCCTCAGAAACTGTTGTGGTTGCAAAGTAAACAAAGGTGTGTGTTTGTAGAGTAATTTACAACAGCTTTGAATTTACAACAGCTTTCTGATAAAAAATTGTGATTGCAGTTTAGAAACGCTTTAGCATTTTTGCTGTACTTATTTTTAGGGCCGCACAATTTGGCCATGATTTTGTGATTGTATATTATTGACAAACTCAGTGCTTAAAGTTCTCCGGCGTGCAGCGTTTGGCTGCGGGAAAAATAAATCCTACATTTAAAAAAAACTTGTTGATATCACGTTCGAGTTCATGAGTTCACCTACCAATGGTATGAGAGGAGCACAGCTTTCACTCTCAACCAAACTAACATTACTAGCCAATCAGAATATTTTGCTCTTATAAACACGAGATGCGCATAATAGTATCCAATTGCAGAGTCGCAACCTTGATGAATGGAGAAGTGCGACACGTTCTTTGACGCATATTTACATAGAAAAACTAATAAAAAATCAGCAGAGCTTTGTAAACAGCTCAGAGTAATCATGTCATCTCCATAAGAACGATATGATTGCCAGAACATATTTACCGGGATTTTTGAAAAGGTCCTGTTCACACATGATCTCTTAACAGTAATTTACCAGTAAAGACTGTATGTGTGAAAGGGGCTAAACTCTTTTTCTGTATATGCGGTGAATTTGAATTGCTTAACGTTCATCTGAGAAAACAGTGTGCATTATCTCACTAGATTTGTAACGTAAATAATTTATAAACCTTTGCATACTTATACTTTAGATGACTAAGTATTTTCACATATAAATAAATAAATATTTAATAAAAATATAATTAAAAAGGAAGTAAACACTGTAACCAACAGGGCACTCAGTATTCTGGGAAGTTTGTGTGCATTAATCATATTTTTTCCACATAAAGCCAAGGTAACACTCATTTTACATACAGCACCGAGTGAAAATGACATTAAAATGACAGTGGGAAAATGCATAAAGCGCAACATAATTTAAAATCACGAGTTTAAAGTTTGTCGATCGCGCGTCTCCAGTGAAGCTGAACTCTTCTCCTGTCAGCATTCAATTCACACGGATCGACCGTCACGCAGAGTACACACGATCATGCAGGATACACATGCACACTTCACAAGATCTCAACTAGATTCCACTAAGTTTGCAAGGTTTTTGAAATTGGATGTTTATTAGACATTCAAAGATTTGTTTAAATGATATAAATGCTGAATGCTGACGATAAACAAGAAAGTATTATAATGTTTGCCTTTCTATTACTAATAATAGAAAAAAAGCAGTCGTTATAAGACTTTTTGTATACGTTAATTCATTTGTTTAACCGTTCTATCTGATTATTAGACAGACTTCTATCCGTATTTAGACAGAACTGTTAAGGACAACAGCGAACACAAGGGAGAATAGGGCCTTTCGCACCGCAGGAACCTTTTCATAGTATCAGAACTAATTGTGGAACTACCCACTTTTCGGCGTGTTCGCACCGCCGGAACTGGGAGCGATTTTAGTACCGGACTGCCTTTTTCGAGAACCAAATTAGCTCCTACTCCGGAGCAGGGTCTAACCAGCACAACTGGTACTAATCGTGATGTAAGTAGACATTGATTGGCCAAACGC